AGAATTTAATGGATCTTGGATAATCTAAATTATTTTTAAAAGCATCAGAATAGCTTTGTTATATTATTCTTTTGCCTAGAAAACCTTCTTATAGCCAGATGTCTGAGACAAGCATTTAATGGAATTTTATTATTTCCATATCTCAAATATTTATAGTGTGACGGAATTTTCCAAACCAAACTCAGCACCATACTTAGGAATGTCTTCTTGTCATCAGGCCCATGGTAAATCTTTGCAAAACCTTTGAGGACATTAGGGATCACAAACTTTTTGCTTGGTGTAGTATTTAAAGTGAAGGAAATAAGAGATGACAGTAAAAATAGAAAAAGAAGAAAGGAAAGAAAGAAAAATAAATTCATATACTTACCCTTAGAAGTAATGATGAGAGTATTTACTCATTCATTAACCAGTACTCTTGGGGTGTTATGCTAAGATTACATAAGTTTAAAAAATTAACATAGCAATAGTTATACTATCTATGTTCCTATTGCCCCCACCTCCTTTCTTTCCTAAAATTCTTATTCGACTCCTTTTTCTCTACCTATTAAGCTTGATTCTCTGCCAAAGGACTCCCCTCATTTTCATCACATAGCTCCCAGAACAAAAGAATACTCTTCCTCTAACTGATTAGACAATGTATTAGGAAAGAATTTAGTGGAGAAATATGATAAACAAGGAAGATCTGATCAGGAAATGCAACAGAGGTATAAATGTATGAAAAAGGAAGTTATGAGGATATGGTAGGTGATGCAGATACCAGGGGGACAGACAGAATTTACTTAGTGGCCATAAAAATGATCAGATCCCTAGAAAATGACACAGGACCTTTTCTGTAATTAGTTATTTAGGACTATTAAGAAATATAGTTCTTATGATGACTTTTCAAAAATAATAATGAATATTTTAGAGCATATCGTTGCCTTTAGTTTCCATATGCTTTCAATAGAAACAAAATATATATTTTGCTTTTTATTAGACTCTTAATTCATGTTTTACTTTCTTCTCTGTGACATGAATGCGCTTGTTTAATAGTTTGTTTAATAGTTTAATAGTTTGTTGAATAGCTTGTTTAATAGCTTGTTTAATAGGTGAGGAAGATATTGAGTAAGAGAAAATGGTAGAGCAGGACATCAGCAAAAGATTGACACCTCCTCTTCCATCTCTAGAGTAATTTTGTAACTTAATGAAATAAGAACATGTTGAAGATTTACAAACAGAAGACTTGAATCTAATATCCAGCTTAATCATTACACAAAAAATATGTATTTAGCAAGTGGTATGTGCTTTACCATTTCCAGGTACTGTGGCTACAGAGATTAATAAGGAATGATGCTCTTTTACTCTCAAAGAACCACATGCCGATGAGAGAGATACATAGGTATTATTGACCAAAAAAGTGAAAATTTCTCTTATAAATTAGAGTATGAGGGTTTTTTTGTCTATCATGTGATCATATGCAAGTGAGTTAACCTCAGCTGTGAAAAAGTGATTATAATAGTAGTGAAGTTACTGTGATTTTGTATTTGTTGTCTACATAGCTTCCAGTGTAAGTAAAAAAGAATTATTTAGGGCTTGCAAAATATTAAGATTCTGGCTGGCTTTAAGGGAATTTAAGCCAAGCCAAAGGAATACATTGAAAGTATTTATTTATAACACTATCACTTGATCTTTGATGCTCAAATTAGGTACTCTAAGACATTTGAAAATTTGATAAATGCTATAAACTTCCTAAGAAAGATGCTTCCAACCTCTTAAACAGAGTAGATTTGAATGCTATTTTCTTGCATTGGAAAATCCCTTGAGGTCCCAGGATAAAAATCTTTGACATATAATAATAGTGACTTCTAATGTTTATAGTAACTAGTAAGTGAACTCAGCACTCTTGAGACCAGAATTTATACTGTTAGATACTACACTACTACTTCCTTATTAAGGTTCATCCATCTATAATATAACAAACCTAACAATTGATGGTATCAGGAGACAGAAAGAAGCTAACATGCAAATATAATCTTCTTCCCATTTGGAGATAGTTGACTCATCCATGACCTTATCTTCCTCTTCTAGGCTATAGCATTTTATGGCAGATAATATACATCCAATAGCAGTGAGACTATA